CCCCATGATAGGGTCACCTCAGTGTCATCACAAGTTGCAATCACACAACAACAAAAAAGATCTCTGTGTTGTAACTTTACCAAAAATTCTCATGTCCAAATACTTAAGACAGAGTGAAAATACCAGACTGTGCTGGCACTAACATCCCACAGCATGTATGGCATGGATCTTTCACAATTTATTGCAGGGAAGGAACAACTAACAAAGTCCCTGGAAATCAGAAGCAATCCACCAAGATCATTTTTATATCCTCCACAATGCACTATGGTTGAACAAGCCATGAAAGATACTCATAATATTATTTTTTTAAAAATAAAGAAAGATGCATTTAACTATAGAAAATCAACATGAAAACAAGCCATCCTTCCACAAATGTAAGTAGGGCAGATCTTGTATGTCCCAAGGTGTTTATTTATCTGTTTGATTTGAACAGGATGCTGCTGATTGCTCTGTTTCAGGCAAGGGTCACTAATATATTAACCGGCAGGCCAAGAACTTTTTGTTTAGACAGGCATTTAAAATGGGGAAATTTTTTTAAAGAAAGTCTAGGGGGTGGTATATTATTTTAAAATGTATGTTTTTTACGTGATTTTTTAAATTTTATATTCCATTTTTAAACAAATGATCTTTTTAATATTGTTAATAGTTTAATACCATTTTAATTGTTTATTTTGTAAAATTTTAATTGTACTGTGTGTTTTTTTAGACAGTAAGCCACTTTTAGTCCCAATCTTGGGAGAAAAGTGGGATAAAAATAAATGTAGTAGTAGTAGTAGTAGTAGCAGTAGCACCAGCAACAGTAGTAGTAGTATATGCTATAATTGGGCAATTGTAGCAGTGTCCAATTACCATAGTGGCAGTGAAAGCCATGGCTTACATTTCATGTGGATATGATTTGGCCTTTGTACTCTCCCATATAAAAATATTACTTACCCTTGGAATAAGAAGAGGTTTATGCAGTTGTAACTCTTGGTCAGAAAGTTGCCTAAGACTCGCTTGGGGTAACCACATTTGATTTGATATGCTGACAAACCAAAATAAATACACTTGACCAAGTACCACAGTTGAGCTACCAAATTCCTGTTAAATCTCCTGCAAATGAACAGAAAACAACATGCTCATCCCCTTCCTCTTTAACATCATTTACAGCATGATTTGTATATGGGATCATACATGGTGCAATATGTAAAAGCCTGAAGGATGTTCTTCTATATAACTACTTCTGCACACCTTCTGCAATCAGTATCTCATTCATTCCATCATTCATTCATTCCATTCTCCATTACCCAGCCCCTATTGATCTCAAAAACTGCATCCACAATATGTATAAATTAATTAAACTTAAGCAATTTTGCAGACTTTATTTTATTTACTGAACTAAAATGTTTGAATTACAGAATTTCCATGTTATCTCTGCTCACTTGAATAGAATGGCTCATATGTGGGCTTTTGTTTTGTTTTTTTGCTGCCTGTTGAAACTTGTAACCATCAAAAGATGCACATACACCCATTCTACAGCATGCATTGCTATACCTTTCTGTTACTCCAGGCAATATGAAAAACATCCAAAAATGGATGCCAAAGACAAGGACCACTTGAAAAACACACTTCCCAAACATATTCTTTCTCAGGTAGATTGCCCGATCAACTATCATTGTCCCAAATTGTATCAGGAGCATCACGAGAAAAGCTTCAGGTACCTGGTCTTCTGAAAGGGATTCTGTGATGTCAGCAGCGGCTGAGTGTTTCTGAAATAAGTCAGAAGTTAGATTTTAAAAATCAGATGAATTAAATCTGGATATAAGAAAAAGGAGCAACCCAGGCTTACAAAGCAGTCTTTGGGCTTATCAACATTATAAGACTACATCTGATATTTTAATTATGTTGATGATTGTGTCAATTAATTCTATCAAGACTTTGTTAGTTGTATTTAGGTTCCATTAAAATTTCTGAGACAATCCCAGAGTTTCATTCTCTCTCTCTATATATATTTATTACAACTGCAGAGATAATTGAAACTGAAACAACAAAGGCCAATAAATCCAGTGAAAAAAGCAATGCATGCTGCTACTTACACCAAAGGCCCAGTAGCCAAATATGACAATAATAAAATTAACGACATCAACTAGGAACATGATGGCATAAACATCACAGATTGGGCTGTACTCAGGGTGAATAATGTCATAGAAGAATTGCTTGATGGGCCGGTAAATCTGAAGAGCACTGTAGGTAAAAATTAATCTAGATCAGTTAGGTTACAAAACAGAGTCACAACTTTGAAAAGGATAACCTGCTTGCCTAAAGTATGTTTGGTTTATGAAACACCTTTCTTCATGAAAAAGAACAGTGTCACAGACACAAAGAAGCATTTTTTAAAAAAAGTTTGAGGTTGTATCCACACTGCACAATTCTAGCAGTTTGATAGCACTTTAACTGTTATGGAGCCATCCTACGGAATCCTGGGATGTGTAGTTTAGTAAGAAACAAAGAAGAGTATAGCAGAAGAGCCAGCATGGTGTATGTAGAGCCAACATGGTGTAGAGGTTTGAGCAATGGGTTAGGACACTGGGAGACTGGGGTTCGAATCCCAGCACAGCCATGGAAACCCACTGGATGGCCTTGGGCAAGTCACACTCTCTCAATCTCAGGTGAAGGCAATAGCAAACCTCTGGACAAACTTTGTCAAGAAAACCCTATGATAGGCTTGCCATAGGATGGTCATAATTTGGAAATTACTTGAAGGCACACAACAACAAGAATGACAATGAAACGCATAGAATTTTCCGCAACATTCTCTAATCCACTACCCTGAACAACACACTAGAACTATCCAGCTGAAAGTGCAAATCCCAAGATTCCATAGGATGGGGCCATGGCATTTAAAGTAGTGTCATAGTGCTATAATTATGTCATGTGGATCAACCTTAGGATTGTTCATGACCTCCTTAATCTAGTGCTCTCCTTCAGATATACTGGAATCCAATTCCCATCAACTGCAGGGATTAGAGCACTTACATCTGGAGGGCACCAGGTTGGAAAAAGATACTCTTTTCTATGAGAAAGCTCAGCCATTTAAAAGCCTTTTGCATTTGCTTCCTCATTAAAGTTATTTCACGAAGGCTCAAAATTGTTTTTTTAATGTAAAAACCACTATTGCCTGAAAGCCAAACTATATGCAATATAAGATGTGTGCATTAATCAAATATGTTTAGATATTTTCCCCTGCCAATTAAAAACAATGGGAGAGGAAAGTATATCAGCATAGGGATATCATAAAAAGGAATGGCATAGTGGTTTGAGTGTTAAACTCAGGTCTCAGGAGACTAGGGTTTGATTCCCCACTCAACCATGAAACCCACTGGGTAACCTTGGACAAGCCTCAGGAAAACGGGAAGCCTCCTCTGAACAAATCTTGCCAAGAAAACCCAAGACAGGTTCGCCTTTAGGTTGTCATAAGTCGGATACAACTTGAAGACATACAACACACACACACAAGGATGAGGAAGCAGCAAAACTATGTCTGCCAGCATTGTTTACCTAAAAGGCACTGTCCATTTTTTTTTTAAAGAGGGATAATGAAATGTTTTTATAAAAAACAGAAGTGGGAATTTGGGCAGGGGCAGCTGGTTACATAGGGATGAGAAGACTGACAGCTACTGAAATTTTCTGAAAAGGGTACATCGGTTGTACAGGGTCACCTCTGCTCATAATCTCATTCTTCAAGCAACCAAGCACTGTCCAATAGCTGATATTCACACCGCCCACCATTCAGGTCCCATTAACCCAGCTGCACATCCAAGCAGAGTCCATGCACAACTGACCAGACAATTTTCAACAGTGAAAAGATGGGCCTTATTTTGCAGGACCTTGCTTTGCCTACACTTGCATCAACTCCAAAAGTTTTGTCCAATGCCTGATTTACACTCAGTCCCTCTCCCCATTTGCAGGCTTCCCCAGTGGCATTGGTGGTAGGCAGCTGTGATCTCTTTAGATGTCCCATAGTGGCCCAGAACAGTGCTATGTTAGGGCATTAACACAGCAGACACCTACCCACGGCAGACCATAATGTTGCTGGTGGCTGCTATCATCAGTAAGCCCTTTGGGAAGTTGGCCAGCCCAATGATGTGAGATGAGGCACAGGAGATCTTCAGCCAGTCTGCCTCCTCCCTCATGCACAAGGAAAAAGTTTTTATGACAAAAGATGTCACTGAAGAGATGCACAGCCTAGCTAGTCTCCCTTTCTCCTTCTTTCCACATAGCTATGGACAAATGCCCCTCAGTTCAGTTCAGAATTGGAGTAATACTTACAAAACTTTTCAGCAAGTACGGTATTCAGAAAAATTTCCCCCTTTTTTTTCAAGAGTTCTGCTCACCAATTTCATAATGCTGGCACTTACAGAGATGGTGCCACATGCATGCACACTGTTATATTGCTCACCAGCAATTGTTATTTGGTTAGACAACAGTCACAACAAATGTAAATCCCTCTCTCTCTCTCTCTCTCTCTCGTCTCTGTGTGTGTGTGTGTACTGGGTGGGGAGAGGCTTGGATGACTATTGACCGGACAGAGCTGAACAGGATCTAGGACGTTCATCATTTTGGAGTTCATGTACGGTACATTGAAGATGAGGTTCATTCCATGTTCAGTTAAGGCAGCCTGTTGTCCTCCAGATCTGTAGGACTATAACTCCCAACATCCTTGCCAGCACTGCTATGCTAGCTGGGACAGAGAAGTAGTCCAATACATCTGGAGAGCAACAAATTAGAAAAGGTTAAAGAGTCAAAATGTAAGAAAATTTTATTGATGCATGTCCAGAAAGTGCCTTTAATAACTTCCTAGCCTACACATGCAGAGAAACTGGCTTTGGGCATCTAGTCCTCTGAATGCTGACTGTGTGTGCACAAAATGGCATTGAGCATTCTGAGCTGGAACAGATGGTCTGGGGGACATGGTGCATATCACAAATGACCATTACAAGTTTTGTACAGCAAAGCAGAGAACTAGCATGGTGCATTGGTTTGAACATTGGACTATAACTCCAAAGACTAGGGTTCGAATCTTGGGCATGGAAACCCACTGGGTGACCTTGGCCAATTCACATTCTCTTAGCCCCAGAGGAAGGCAAAGCAAATCCCCCTCAGAATAAATCTTCCCCCCCCCCAAAAAAAACCCTGCAAAAACCTTAAGACCGCCATAAGTCAGAAACAACTTGAAGGCACACACCACCAATACCAACACCAAAGCAGACAATTGCAAATTTTAACAACACCAATGCTCAACTGCATTGATCTTTGTAAGCAAGATTTGTCACTTGTCAGAGGACATGATCAATAAATGTGTTTATGAAGCATATGATGCTGATTTAAACCACTGTCATCTAGCCCAGGGCTGCCTGCTGTGATGGGCAGTGGTTTTCCTTCATTTAAGAAAGGGAGAGATCTATGTAGCCCACCAGAGACTGAACCTGGGACCTTCCATGTGTATAACATATATGCTGTTTTTGAGCTACAGCTCCTCCATCAGACTTTGCTGTACTTTCATCAGTGGCTTGAATCCACATTTCACCAATGTATTAGGTCATTAGAAGATATACTTACCTTCTTTTCTTTCATTTTTTAAACCTAGTGACACCATTAACAAATCAATTGAAGCAAATTCTTAGTGAAGCAAAACACCTGGAATCTTTTAAAATGAGAACAGCAATTTCTTTCCCAAAAAAAACATGTATCTTACAATCCATCCTTGAATGCAAGATACTCACAGGACTGAACAGACTCCTGGTTTTGTCCTTCTCATCATTCAGCATGGATATATGGACCCTGGCACCATGTGATCCAAGTGAAGGGGGTCTTCATCCCACAGTGGTGGGATGAGAACAACACCCCCCCCCATGAAACCATGGGTTGTGAGTACTGTATATACAAATGTGCACAGAAAAGGACCACAGAGCATTACAAGGAGCAGAAGATCTATATGTGCCATTCATATTCCTACTAACCTTCCCTCTGGCCCCCAGACCTTGGCTACTTGGTTGTTCAAAATCCCAAATTTTCACTTTCTTTATAAATGCACAAAAATATACCCCATTTACATTTTGATCAGCAACTTCTTTGCCTTTAATATCTGCTGGTATACTGTTTCCTTGGTAAGTCTCTTCCTGCCCGTGTTTTCCCCCCTGAACCAGTTCCATTTCTTCTTGGCTTCTTTTGGGGCTTGATCTGCCAAAAAGAGAAAAATCACAGCTCTATCTGGGAAGTATTCATTTCATAAGAGCAATGCTTCATTTTAAGCTCCCACTAACTCATGTGGGGTCCATTTGCTGAACATATGACACTTGATCCGCCACCCACTCAGACATATGATCTGCTGCCAGTCCTTCAGGCATCATTTCCACTGGCCACAGTATAATATTAAAAATGGAAGCACTTGTGCTAGTTCCTACCCTGGAGGCTCCCTTCCAAATATTGTCTCCATAACCACAAGAAGGTCAAGTTTTCACCTTTTATTTTAAAAGAAGTGGAAACAAAGGGGAAGCAGAGAGGCTTCACAACAAGATGCAAGGGAGAAAGGGAGATGGATTTGAAAAAAAATAGCAACAACAAAGACAAATAAAATATGCACATGTCCTCACCCTAATTCTTTTCCTCCCACAACTCTACAAAACCAGGAGCAACATTTTTGGACTACAACCCCCTCAACAGTTCCAACTATCCATGGTTGCTTGTAGGGTTCTGGGTGTTGTAGTCCTAAAAGCGAATATTTCAAAACTATGGATAAGAGCACCTAAGATACCTTATATCTGTGAGTTATGCCAAGATAGACATTGTGGTGTCCTCAATGCTTTCATGTTCCTCTCAGTATTCTAGATCTGGACAGCCAAAATATGTCCCTGGCTGAATCTACACTGGAGAATTAATGCAATTTGACACTGCTTTAAGTGTCATGGCTCCATGCTATGAAATGCTGGGATTTGTACTTTTGTGAGATATTTAGCCTTCTCTCTCAGAGCTCTCTGTTGCTACAACAAACTACAAATCCCAAGATTTCACAGGATGGAGCATGGCAGTTAAAGCAGTGTTAAACTACATTAATTCTGCAGTGTGGCAGCAGCCCCTGAGTTTTGTTTTGTTTTGTTTTGCAACTCTAAGGAGACCCCATAACAGGGTTTTCTTGGCAGCACTTATTTGGAGAGTCTTTGCACTTGCCTTCCTCTGAGGCTGAGAAAGTGTGATTTACCCAGGGTCAGCCAGTGGGAATTTGAACCCAGGTCTCCCAATGTCCTAGTCCAATACTCAAATCACTACAAAATACTGCCCCTCCTGGAAACCTTCCTGGAATGTTTGAATAGGACACAGCCCCTGACCCAACCCCACACTGTTCAACATTTTTAAATATCTGTTTTTGAAAACTAGAAGTAGACTTCCACTTTTAAAAAAAATTCTAATTAATGATAGATGTCACACAGAAGTGTCTTCGGGGAAGAAAACTTCCTCCATAACAGCAAAAACAGTACTTCGACCACTCACTTCTGGCCACAGAGGGGCTTGGGACTATGATTTAATTTTCTATGATGTTTCAGAGGAACACTATTGATGTGACTATATGGCACAATTATAGAAGTTTGATACTTCTTTAATTGCCATAGCTCTATCCTATGGAATGCTACGATTTGTATTTCAGTGAGCTATTTGGAAGGTGCAAAGGCATCCTAAACAGAGAAGGGCTGAGGATTAAATCAATGTAACTCTATAGTGTAGAAAAGCACTCTGAGTATCTAGGAAATTGTTGTTGTAGGGAGGGCTAGTACTTTCTGGCTAAGAATCCCAAATCCTTCACCAAACTGAAAACCCCAAGATTCCATAATATTGAGCCATAGCAGTTAGAGTGACATTAAACTGCAATAATTGTATACAATGAACACACCGTATATTGGGAGATAGTGGAGAATTAAAGTGATGGTCCCCAAACTTCTGCTTTAAATTTATTACAGTTACTAGAGCAAGGTGTGGAAAGGGAGCTGTACAAGCCAAATATAGTTCACCACCTCTTTTTTTGCATCTATCAGTTCCCTCATACCCTTCATTTCACAGATTAAAATTGGAAAATGTGTGACCAAGCAACATCATTTGTTCAAGATGGCAAAAGTTATCAATGAAGAAGAACACACAAGCTAGGAGACACTATGGCAGTTTGCTTTTGCCTGCATCTATAGGAAAGAACTCTCCTCTTCCTTATGTTGAGTTAATTGAGTGCAATACTCAGTTTTAAACTCAGTTTGCGCCAGTGGAAGTAAGCTGAGGACATAGGTGAGAGTGAAAAGTGAGAGAAAAAGAGAGAAAATGGGAGAATTTAAAAGCAGCTGAAAAAGTGGAATGACAGAGGATTAATCAGAGCTGTTCCAATTCACATTCTGGAACAGTTTAGGGCAGGGGTAGGCAACCTTTCCCCTTTAAGGGCCAAGGGACTTCAGCTCCCAGAAGCCTCAGCCATGTTGGCCAATAGTCCCATGTTGGCCAATAGCTCCTGGGATTCTGGGAGCTGAAGTCCCTCGGCCCTTAAAGGGGAAAGGTTGCCCACCCCTGGTTTAGGAGCAACAACTGAGAAATTTCTCACCCATGAGGGGCTATGTCACAAGGCTGGCAAAGGCTAGGCAGTTCTCAGTTGCTGCTGAGCCAGCTGCTCAGTTGCTGCTCCCAGGGTTACCAGGCGCAAAGGAAGCAGAGTCTGTGAAATTTGCAGTAGAACAGTAGACCTAATGTCAAGAAATAGGTGTTGGAGAGCACTAGGGTTCTCACCAAGAGGAAAAGATGTGGTAGACTGAAAAGATTTGGGGACCACTGCACTATTACATTCATTTTTCTTTTCTTTGCAACAACACCATTATATTCCCTCTCCCCCTCCCTCCCTCACCCCCAGCCCCATATACCCTGCCAGGGTCAGACAATACAGCTTTAAACAACTCCAACTACCTTCCATCACCCTTCGAAAGATATTCCTTGAGAGATTTTGAGGTCTAAAACGTTGCTGTGCTGCATTTCCAGGTTGACCTTCCTTCAGGTGGGCTACATGCACTTTCTTCTTTGGTCTCTCTGTCACATTCTTTTTTTTGGAGTCCAGTATGTTGACACCCTTGGAATCCCATAGTCCATAGCACTAAAAAACAATGTACATGTGAATGAAACAGAACCACCAACTGCCTTCAAAGGTGAGACAGCAAATGATATTGAAAAGGAAAGATTATTCTTGAAATTTACACCAAAGACATATTGGTCATCAAAAGAGTTGGCTATATAGGTCCTTTCAACTAACAGACTCCAAATTTTACTGTTTTGATTGCTATATAATGATAAAGGATACTGCAAAACTGAAGAAGGAGATGAAAAGGACAAACCATACAATCAGATGGCTGGAGCAATTTTCCTATGAGGAAATGTCACAGCATTAGGGAGTTTTAGCTCGAGGGAAGATACAATAGAAGTATTTAAGCATTATGTGAAGAAAGTAAATAGCTTGAAGTTTTTCTTCCTCACAAATTTTATAACATTAGAAAGTGGAATCATCCACAGAATCTAAAACGTGGGAGATTCAACACAGATAAATGGATGTATAGCATATGGCTCACAATTAATCAGTAATTTACTGCCACAAGAAGTACTCATGGCCAACAACTTAGATGGCTTTGAAAGGTGGGTTAACAAATTTATGGAGATTGGAGCCATCTGTGGCTTCCACTCATGAAGGTTAGCTCTGAAGGTGGATTATCTCATTATCAGTCATTTTTGCACCCATGTCCTCTTTCTTGGCTTCCCTTTGGCATTTGGATGGTGGTAATATGATGAACATAGCTGTTTTAGTCTGGAATATCAGTATGGAAAGGGATCTTGCAGCACCTTTGAGACTGTGTGAAAGAAGTTGTAGCATGTAGCAGTTGAAGCTTTTGTAGACTTGGGACTTTATCACACAGGGAAAATCAGGGATTTCCCCATGAATGATTGCTGGTTATTCCCGTTATTCCCAGGATAATGACTCTTTAATTGCAACGTCATGTGAAAATTTTAATCGTGATTGTG